GGTATAGAGATCCAAACAGAGTCTTGGACATTATCAAGGACAGGAAATTGGAGTAAGTGTGTTCCAAGACTGTTCTTACTATAAGCAAGGCATCCATTACCACGTCTCTCAGATCTGTTCGTAGCAAATATATTTTAACCGGGTATGGAAATGTGTCGGAGGGGAGTTATATCAGTAAACCAGGTTTCAGTTACGAGGATTACATTCGGGTGAGATTGCAGTGCAAGGGAGCGAACGGATGTGAGTTTACTTACAAGGGAGCGAGCATTGAAAAGTGCAATTGTGAAACTATCATTATCGTGGCCATGACGTACATGGAATGTATGACCCCTTAAGGTGGCTGCCAGGTTTGGAGAAATTTTAGCCACTGGCAACCGTGGGATGGTGTGGGGAGAGATATGGTATGGGAGGAGGCGGGGCATTCAGAGGAAACGGGAAAACCGGCAAATTTAGATCGGGTGGCATTAAGTCCGAAAGTTCGCGACTATCTGGAATTGAAGAGCAGGATGCATGTGGTTGGGTAGCCCGTAAGTAGTAAACCGGAACCGCATTTGGATAAGGTACTGGCATAACGGTCTGAACGGTCTTGCCGAGACTTCCTTTTGCGTCGTTGGAAGAAGTGTTTTTATGGTTCACTCTACCTGGAGGCAAAAGACTGATTGGGTTTGGAGAGCGAGGTCCGGGTCCGCGAGTTGAGATGGCTGATTTTGCCGATAAAGCTACTTTGCGCCTGTTTCTAGCTACCCACTACTCTCTAGAGTTCTTACCCTTTCAACCCCTATTACCAACACTAGCTTAAGTTCACATTTCTTCATCACAGTGTGCTCTAACTTAGGGAATAAATTACCGTTAGAAATAGGCAGTTCTACTTCCAGCCATCGGTTGAGAAGTGCGTTGGATAAATTCCTCACGATTACCCAAAGCTTACCGCTCCTAAAGGTAGACATACCCGATGACCAAGCCTATGAAAAGGGTCTAGAATTCTGAATCGGGCAAACGCTGACGGTCTATGACAGATGGAATCAAATAAACATTCTTAGTTTTTCTGCCTTCCGCAATCGAAGAGCTAGTCCCAGAGAGTCACTGTCCATTATTGTTGCCTCTTTGTATCGGTTCCCATTTATCCTCAGCTGGGAGCATCCCAGAATGCTCTCCTCTAAGTTTTCTTTAATTCTAGACTTTCATTTGTGTGTATCTTTCTCTCAATGACTCTTAATACTTTGGAAACCACACCTGCCACTAACCTGGCCTATGCACCTGGAATAAACCATACTCCAGAAGGGCCACAGTGCTACCCGTCATCCATCTAGTTGACCTACCCAAGGCTCACCACGAGGAAATATCTCGTACCACTTGCGATCCAGGGCAACTTTGAAGGACTGGACGGTCCGCAGATCTATCATTCCACCAGGAAGTCCGTTCCAATTGTTCACTATACCGTTGCTGAAGAAGTGCGATCTAGCCATCAATCCAGCTCGGGCTTTCATCAGCTTCTTTTCATGTCCTCTTGTTCTGGAATCTGAAACCACTTGGAATAGACTATCCGGTCTAAGACCAGAAAAGTCCTTCATTACCTCGAACTTTTCTATGAGGTCCTCATGACATCTCCTCCTTTCCAAGGAAAAAAGATTCAGATCACAGAGTCCCTGCTTGTACGTCTTACCCCTGCGGCCTTCAACCGTTCGCGTTGCGAGTCGTTGGACTTTCTCTAGGCAGGCGGCGCCTTTTTTGTAGGAGAGTGACCAAGCCTGCACACTATCTTCTAAGTGAGGTTGCACTTAGGCATGTAAATAGGTACGAATATCTCGGGCTACCGGCAAGATAAAGCTGATCACAGTTTGAAGAGCTCACCGCGAGCCTTTTGTGCAGCAGCGCTGCACTGTTCCGACCGCTTGAAGTCACTGTTCGTGATGACCTCAGGGTCTTAACCCTGCTGACTGCTTCTATGGTGAACAGCCCTGGGTTATTAGCTGAAGTTAAGCTGTCATTTGCCCTTGACAACAAGGGGCTTTCTTAAGCTTTCAGAGGCATGTCCGATTTGTATGCCCAGGAGGCTAGACTGGCTTCGTCACTGTCAGTCTTGCGCAATCTGACATGACACAAGCTGATCCGATTACAAGTTGCTTAAAATACGCGCATTAGGCAGCAGTTTTCATAGTGCGCGCAGAACAGTTTATTAGACGGTGGACAGCATTTTCGGTTGCACCCTTTCTTACAGAAGACACACGTAATTCACCCATTTATCGCCAGAGATCTTCGTTCTTTCCGACAAACGCAGCCTCTTTTTGTTTGCCATCCAACCCTCGTGTTCATGATTTATTCCACTGCTAGATTTAGCGGGAGGCCAAAGATTTTAGACGGTGAGGTACGAACAATTTGAGAAATTTAGTACACTCAAGAGGCCAAGAACGGACTTTGCCGCTGGCATTTGAAGGAAAGTGGGGAGGAGTTTTGGAGCGGGATGAAAGAAAATAGCCAGCGGATTCTCCGTCACTAAATGCTATAAACCCTCCTAATAGGACAAATAGTTGTTCCGTATACTTCCGGGGCCTGATTGCAGTTCAGCTCGAAATGGATTGGATCTCCCGTTTCCTTTCGATCTACACATTATCCCAAATTCCTGCGGGTGCCAGTAATATTTTTTCCTCGCAACCAGTCACTAGCTGTCAGGTCGGTGGCCATGCGGGATCGCGTCTGTAGCGTACTACTCTGTCTGTATGGTACACTAAATGAACGTCAACAATGTCTAAGGCGACACTAGCAAACTAAGATGGACGGAGGAGCTTGCTGTGATAAAAAGGCCAAAAGGGTATGTACATTAGAAATTAAAACGAAACAAAAGGCGTGACACAAACTCACAGTTGTTCAGCGTTCTTGTGATCAGGAAGTGAGCCCTGAAGAGCCAATATCCGCCAATGTCTTCAGTTCAGTTCGGTCTGACAGCCATCCGTTGAACAGAACAGGATGGTATTGAGCGAAGTGCCAAGAGACGCCGTGGAAGCTTCTAAAATGTTTTGTTTCTCACAGTTGGTTCCGACCGATATAATTCCAAGACACTCCAAACCAGAAGAAGAGACCTTGCCAGAATGAAAGGTTTATTTACGGCCTTTTTGTGTTGCGCGGTGATGACGACCAAAAGGTGTGTGTGTTTTACATCAAAACGTCTGTACAACAAAGGAGTGTCGCACCAAGGGACGTTGAAAATCATGGAAGAAGTCGGAAATGTACAGGTACCTACACGTCACGGTGAGGCGTAAATCAGTTGTATGAAGACCAAGAAAACGGGTACAACGCGGCTTCATAGGATCGATATCAGCTTTTTGGCAGGTCACTGAGTAGCTCTCAAGAGATGCTAGGGCACAGGGTTGACCTGAGCTACGAGGGTCACTGGTTTTCTCCTGTCTCCACAGAACAAGACGCTTATTCTCACACTTCCGAACACGAGAAACCCACAGTCGCGCAAAAGCAGACAGTCAGGCATATCGTCACGAAGTTCTATGAGGATAATTTATTAAAACTTATCTCGTTCGTTGGTTTCGACTAGTCAAGGTTGTTTATCGCGGAAAACCGAGAAGCATCATCTCGACGGCACTAGCAACGTTCAGGTCTAGCTGAAACTTTTATATCTCATTTTCAACTTTCCACTTCACTGTGTTTTTCTTCGTGTGGTTTGGATCTGAACTCAGTTGGAACTGACTTCCAAGGACCAATAAAGACTGGAGATATGTCCAGTTCCAAACCTCATCATTGACCGTACGTGATCAAGCGTAAGGAATCGATCTGTAATTACTTGTCCCAGGGATCCCCACACACGCGGTGGCTATTCCTTACGTAGTAGTCTGTAATGCGGTCTTCATCTTCCATCTGGTGTGTTAACACACCAGAATTATGAGTCAGTGATCACTGACTCGAGCTTGCAAACTCACATGCGACAAATGGTCCTGTATTTTTAAAAGTAGTTATTTCAAGTTCTCCCTTGTAGCAAAACCGGTGTGAAACCGCTCCAAAACCGATCGGTTTTCGGCCGATTTTCGATCGGTTCCAACTATTACGCCCATCGGTTTTTGATCGGTCTTCGAAGACCGCGATCGCGGTCGGTTTGTTTAGTAGCCATTTTACACGGATCGGTATTGAATTCATACGAAGGAAAGTGACGACCAAAGCAATGTGCACCCCTGGGTTGTCGTTTTACTTAAATGTTTTTTTTTTCCATCGAAATGTCCTGAAAGCCCCAGTATAGATTGGTCCATTTTATCCCCTCGGAAAGGGGGATATAAGGACAATTATTGGAAATATCATGAATTAGGAGATAGAAAAGAGCGTCTTAGTACATAATTCGGGTTAGTGAAATAAATCAACGAAGTATGTCACGTATTTCAAATGATTGGTGCCAACCGCTCGGAAACGGTTCAGAAACTGACCAGGAAACCGGTCTGAAACCACTCAGAAACAGCTGGAAATCCGATCGGCGTAGTAGTAAAAACCGCTTGAAAACCGGTCAAAAACCGATTGGTTTCGAAGTGGTTTTTGGCCGGTTTCTGAGCGGTTTTCGCCAGTCGTTTGAAGTACGTGATGTGCTTCATCAATTTCTTTCAATAACCCGAACCACGTATTACGACGCTCATTTCTATCTCCTAATTTATGACTTTCCAAATAATTGTCCTTATTTCGCCAAGTTCGAGCAAATAAAATAGAACAATCTTTAACGGAGTTTTCAGGACATTTCGATGAATTAAACCAAAACATTTAAGTAAAACTCCAACCAAGCATTGCACATTATTTCGGTCGTCATGAAATTGCAGTTTCCTTCGTATAAATTCATTGTTCATCCATGTAAAACGGCTAGTAAACAAACCGACCAAAAATCGATGGAAAACCGATGTTGCGAACGGGCTGGATGCTACAAGAACTAATATCGACTCTAATGTTTCGATTTCAGACCGACCGTCATCTCGCTAATTCTCCTAGATCTACCTTTTCCACTACACTGTCTGTGCACAATGCGTAGCTATCGTAATCAACCGTCAGACAATGACCCGATACTCAAAACGAAGTACATCTTGTTTTCTGAGCATTTTCAGTAATGTTCGATTTGCTATTTAGATCTGGAGTTTCGCCAGAGGATCCTCCGGTGTCGTTTACTGGTCTAGTAAGCTGGAAAAATTTGGTATCCAATCTATTTTACACTAGTTCCGCTATGCAGATGGCAAAGACACCACCTGCGTCGTGTTTGGGATAATATTGTTTGCAGCAGTTGGCCTATCACTTCCTTTGAATACATACTTTTTCAGGGACGAAATAAACAAATTCTTATTGCCAACGTTTACGGAAAATGCTGCACAGACAATTGTAATCCAGTTCTCTTGTCTTGGAGCGGCCGTCTTCGTGGTCGCTTTTGCGGCATCTGCTCTACTAGACATATCCTCCAAACGTCAGTTGCATCGCATTCGGTTGAAATATTTCAAGGTAATCACCCAAGTGGCAACCCCGTGGTTTAATTGGATTTCATATGGGCATGTCTACTGTTTGGAGAAATATGCTCGTGATATCAACACCGCTTTTAATTACAATTGTTCTGTTTGAATAACAGGTATAACTGTAAGTTCAAATGCTTACCTCTTTCCTGACGTTTTAAGCCAGTATTTTACATCTTTTTCAGAATCAAACCACAAGTTATGTAAAAATGTAGACAAACATGATACACATTTGCACATTTCTTTTACTGGAGTAGACGTTATAGCAGCATTCAATTTTGCTCATCTAAATAACATGCATTGTTTTGTATCTGAACTCTTGCTGTCAAGCACGGTACCCACTTGTCCGTAGCCCGTGCAAGCTAAGCACACGCTAATGTAGTATACGCTGACCACTCTTTTCCCACCGACTGTTCCCCTTTTCAGTGGTAGTGTAAAACTTATCAGGCTGTTTTCTTCTTACGCCCATTCCTTGGTCCTTCCTACCACGCGTGGACCACCTGTCCATTTCAGTGGTACTCCGCACTGCTCCACCACGATTACCAAAGCAATGTTTCCCACAACCCATGAGAGAGAGAACACTAGCGGTGGGGAGAAAGTGGCCAGCGAATATTACAAGAGCTTGCTAGTAACTTGCATGGGAAGCGGTCAATTGGCTATCGTGCTTGGCAGCAAGGGTTCTGGTTAACAATAGTGTCTGTTTACCAAATGAACAGAGATGAATGCTGCTACAACGTCGTTCAACCTTATCAAAAATTGTAACGAAATTTGTAATTACATTTATACTCGAATCTAATGATCTTCAGTGCTATTGCTTTTGGATTGTACATTACGCATATGCTTATCTTAATTTTCTCACACCGCTACAGTACTATGAGAAATGTCCCGCTTGCATATGATTACTGCAGTAAATACCGCAGCAAAGATAACCATCATTGCTGGTCAGCATGATAGTCCCAAAATATTCCCAAACTAGCCCCGTATAAAACGCCCCGGGGACCTTCCGGGGACTGTTTTTGGACGAACTGCCAACGCAACTTCTTGCATTCTCTACATTCCAGTTTTGGTAAATTATGCTACGTTATCTCAGTATGTTAGTTTATCCACTTTTACCAATTTTCGTTTGAAAAAAAGATATGATTTGTGGAAATACCGAAACATTACGTGGCACTGTGCGCATAGTTTCCGGTGTTCAGTAACCTGATAGACAATAGTATTTTATAACAAAGTATAAGGTGACTTTTGTTTTTTAAACCATACTTACAGGAACTGGCAAACTTTTTTTAAACTTATACTGCTTTATTTAAGCAGGGATTATTTTGGGCTGGATGCTGTCTTTTGTGTTGATCGGGCTGATGAATCATTGTTTTTAAATACAGTTTGTTTGACCTTCCCGGATCTAACGGTATGATAAAATTCCATGAAAAAGCGAGTAATGGAAAAATAGTCAATCAGGGGGACATCTCAGGACCAAACAGTGCACTTCTGTGCTGACTGGGTTCATGTGTAGATGGTTAACTACCACGGTACTTATTGGCTTCACCATTTGCGTTCATGCTTCCCGCGGTTTTTTCACTACCCTGAGAAAAATAATTCAAAGGACGCGACACATATATAATTACAAAACGTCTGATTACTTTAATGAAGGCAATACTTTGCGCCAATAATAAGTTCGTCTATCGATGCATATATGTATGCACCCACTGAACGATGTGCAATACTGCACGTTTAGGAATAGTAAATATTAGTCAGTGTATGTGTAACTCGCCGTAAAACGCTATATAATTTGCAGGTTTTTGGTGTGCTGTACCTTTGACTTTTGTGATTGTATCCGAAAGGTTTTGCAAACATACTCAGTCAACATATACCAGCTCGTGCCTGAGAAAACTTGTCCATTACATGGTCAACGAGTTTTCAACACCAAACACATTTTTGCCAATCAATGGTCAACTGATGCAACTGGCTGCAGCCAGTTGTACTCGTAATTTCATTCTTTTGTGTATCGTGATGGCATCAACTCAAGGGGTCCAGCTAAAGAGAACATAAAAAACCCCATTTTAAACGCCCAGTATCGGCCACATGTCCAGTGGTTGGTCATGTAGATTCAAAAAGTAACATTTTACCATCTGAGGACACCGATTACCATTTTCATCACTCAGCCAATCGTTTTACTACTTAGGCGATCTCAAACACAACCAAGCAAGGGCCCTATGGAAATAATTCCTCAGTGTTCTGCAGCATATTAAAAAACAATGTTCCTAAGTATTTCAGAGCAAGAAAATAAATTACCACTGAACGTTTTATGTAATGCTTGGGAAAACGTGTTTTGCCTTCCACCTAATAAGTTTCATCAGCGTCATATCTCACTTAACTCAGCGGCACACTATTAAGCCGATGCTTTAAAGTTGCACCGTAGATTGTAAATCATCAGTAGTCACGCTGCCTTTGTTCACTGAAAAACTGATAAATAAACCGTGCTAAACCCGAGTCCGGCTTGTACAATGGACTGACGTGTGATCGATGGGGTCTGTAAATTAATCTTAGTTCAAAATGGGACTGCATTTCCGACAACAAAACGCTGCATAAAGCGCGGTAAATCATTTATCAAAGATTTTATCTATAAACGAGTGTATCAAGCACTATTTTACAGGGTACTTTATTTAGTCATTTTGTCTCTACACCTGTTTTACTTCAATCAGAATCTTTTATGCGGCAGATTGCTAAATTCAAACTAATTTTCCGTTCAAATGTTCAACATCGGTGGAACTCCGGCCTGATATGACCGTGTTTTTACGGTTTTGCAGGTTCATTTCAGACAACCACTAATCACGCACTGTGTGCCGTGGCTTTTATCGCTATCTCACTCTGTCTCGATTTTGTCTCACTTTTATTCAGGAACGAAAAATGATGCTCGTCAAACCTGGGTCTCACATTTCATTTAAAATAAAGAAATTGCAAAAATATTTTCTGAACAATAGAAATCTGATGGAGTTATGAAATAATAATAACTTAATTCCCCTTTTTTATTTTCAGGCTGTCCTTAGACAGGATATACCTTGGTTCGATGAGAGGTCCTCGGGAGAACTCATCGGTAAATTGTCGGATTGTATAGACACAATAGAGTTGGGAATCGGGAAGAAAATTGGGGAGTTCTTCCAAAATATAACCGGCTTTTTGGCCGGTATAATTATCGCATTTTACGTCGGCTGGAAACTGACACTTGTGGCCTGTTGTACGCTACCAGTCGTTGCCGCTGTCTTCATTGCATTTGCTTTTGTAATGAAGATCTTTACGAGAAAAGAAATATTAGCATATGCCAGAGCAGGTTCCATTTCCGGAGAGGTTTTCACTGCAGTTCGCACAATCGTGGCCTTTGGTGGAGAGAAAAAGGAACTTGATCGGTATACGCAAGAACTAAGCAAAGCAGAAAAAGTAGGAATTCAAAAATCGTTGGCGGTTGGTGGTGGTAAGTGTACTTTATTCTCAACTTGATTGTTTGTGTGCTACTATTAAATGTTTTCCATATTTTAAAGGGCGAAGTTAACTTTTGGCGTATTTTTTATTAAGTGGAAATAATTATTCATGGTGATATTTTTTAAAAAAGTAACCGCAACCCTCTAAAAGTATTTTCAATCATTTTTCACTAGGATTCAACGTGATTTCCTATTTTTGAAGCAACACTTATCCATTGTTTTACACTTTATTGATAAGTTCACTGAAAAAATCTTTATTTATCGAACCATATAATTTAATATTCTTCCCTCGTTTGCCTCTTCTTTTTCGCAGTTGATGGCTGTATCGGTCTCTCAGTTTATTCTGCCGCTGCCCTGATATTTTGGTATGGTTTCAGACTCATAGACACAGAAGGATATGATGCAGGATCTGTGGTTTTGGTGAGCAAAAAGGAAATATGGGATCGTTTCAGATATAATAAATTTCAATCAAAATGACGGTCTATTATAACTCCCAGGAAGTGGAAAGCCAGCTTGTGAAATATCTGGAAAACCTATCATAAGTTCTCGATACGAACAATTTAGGTGATATAGCAAACTTTACTTTTATATTTGTATTACACTGAAATGCACGATAAAGTATCACTAATTGGACCAATAAACTGTAAAATATAAGGTATATCTAAAACGCAATCTCTTTTTGACCCATAGAACGCTTTTTATACTTCACGTTCTTAGAATATCCGCAGCTGATAAAAACTAAGTTAAGAAGCCTCATAGCTTCTGCGCCAGCACAGTTGTTATTGAATGTATACCCAGTATCTGGAAGCAAGTTTATTTTTCGCTCCTCCGCTCAACTACGCAATAGAAAAAAATCAGCTCTGGTTTACCTTAATACGAAAGTCTTTATAAATCAGAACCACGTCATGGTTTTACTCTGCAATATTTCTTGTATTTTGTCGTGGACGGGAAGTGCCTTTTATAAAACAATTTGAAGGCGGTACGTCCGATCCCTCATGGGTATTCTAGCGTAAGTATCAGCTACCCAGCCAGTGCATGCAAACTTCATGAAGACAAGATCAACTGTGCGATAAGTGAGACGTTTTACCCCCGGGAATCAAAATGTCGACTGAATATCATCATTTAGTACACCAAACGTCTACATCTAGTTTACAGGTGTAGACAAATAATGGGTTTGTAGCCTTTCCGTTAGTTTGTTCTGCGGAGAACATGGATAATGTTAATGAGGTTATCACTATTTTTGACACATTCATTTCAGGAGTGCATCCAAACATATCAACATTAGAAAGTAGATGGGGTCATTTTTGAGTCTTTTATGGTCGGCTGCCTCTGTTAAACGTGTTCAATCTGGGTTCAGTAGTGTGTCAGACGACGGCATGCATTTGGAAAGCCTGAATTCTGTGTTTTTAGAAGTATAATGATCATACTTCAAAGAAAACTGCCGTAATATGATATCATGTGTATCTTTAGGATGTAAAGATCTAATTCAAGAGTTGACTCGAGCAGACCAATCAGACAAGCCCGGGAGGTAAGTGGATGAAAACCAGAAGGGGAAGCATAAAAAAGTAACATCTTGGTGCAATATCTGATTGAAACACAAGACGAAATATTTTCCATTCACCAGCCATTAGGCACGAAAAAAGAAACTATTTTCATACCGTGCTTGTTGATGTAGATAGCGTTTAACACAATCAAAAACATTTTATCGTTAGATTTGGCATCAAATATTCTTACGGCGCATCATTTAACTGGAATTATATTTCTGGTGATAACTGTCGTTGTCATCCTCCTCCTCCTCATCATTATCGTCCTTGTTTCTTACTGAAACAAATACAAAATGTTTCAAATATTATGCACAGTGGTTGGTATTATAATGCCGTGAGCGCGGAGCAGTGACTGAGATCGTTATACTCTCATATTTCTGGCCGCGTCAGGGTTTGCGGCGAACTATACGGTCTTTTCGAAACGACGAATGGTGCTCGACAAAGGATGTCCCATGTTTCCATTCCTTTTCAACTTCGTCATGGACGAAAAAATGGAGGGTACGTTGCAAAGTCTTCAGGATATGGGCTTTGAACTAGGAAATCGTGAAAAGCTGTGCGACTTAAATTACACGAACGCCGTCGTGTGCTTGTTCGAATACACAGAACATGTTCAACGTGCCCTAGACAGACTCACAAGAACTGTAGCTCCATTCGGCATGCGATTTGCACCTTCAAAGTGTAAAGTGATGTTGCAAGACTGGATATCAACGATTCCGAGCTTGATGCTCGATGGAGAGGTGCTGACAATTGTTGATCGCTTCAGTTACTTCAGCAGCAGCGTGATGACGGATAGGAGCACAGTAGTAGAGGTGAGCATGCACATATCCGAGGCTCGATCGGCGTGCGCCGGACTGAAGCACTTGTGGCGGCGACCTGAGATTTTATTGAAGTTGAAAGGTCTTGTGTATTGTGCCGCGGTGCGTTCAGTTTTGTTGTATAGTTGCGAGACTTGAGGTCTGGATGGAATAGCCAAAAGAGCAATGCTGAGGCGAGAAAGCGAGTATTGGGTATTAATTCAGAGAACATTCTGTCACAGCGTATCCAGATTAGTAGACTTCGTTGGTTGGGGCACGTGTTACGTATGACAAACACACGTCTACCATACCGTGTCCTATTCTCCGTTCCTCCTAGGGATTGGAAAAACCATGTGGAGGTCAACAGATAACTTGACAACGAAGAATGAGGAAGTGTAAAGCGAACTTAGGAAACGTAGGTGCCTCACGCCTTTGAGGTTGGGGTCCAAAAGATCTGTCAATCAGTTAGCTGGAGACACTGAAGGATGTGGGAGCGAACCGTGAACAGTGGCGATAGTGTTGTCACTTTTTGGTTAATCCGAATGCTTGGTGAATGTGCGTTTGTACAGTTAGGCTGTGTATTCCGTGTGTTGGCTACTAGGGTGTTGTTTCCCTTTCCCACTGTGTAGGTCTACTCCCTGTCCATCTTGTATGTTCATGCTTTCTAATTTGACGTGCAACATGGTGAGAAAGGCAGTGGTCGATTGGGCTTGCCCTACTGCTTTAGCTGTACGATGATGATGATTATGATGATGAATATCTCCTGACGTCTTCATCCTATTGAGATCTAATAATACATAAACGTTAGCCTTCCTCAACCGACAAAGGTCATCGTGCGAGGTTAAGTTTCGTGTGCTTTTAGTTATAATGTTTCGCGATTTTCTACTTTTGTCTTAACATCTTTGGGGTGTGGCATAGCGCTGGCATGGCTTAAGCTGTTACTCTAACTGTACTCATGCGGCCATAGCACTAGGAAGATTCCCAGGCGAACTTTTGATTATCACTATTCGCCGATTATATCTCATACAGCCGTTCTTTTTCATCTTCATCATTATATGACTATTATACGTTTGGGAATACTCAATGTTACTGTAAGTAGCGAAATCTAAAAAATTCTGATTTGTAATTTTGAAACCGAGAGCATGCACTTAGTAATTTTTTTGCAGATGGGTATCTGAAATCAACACCGTTTACGGAATCCGACAAAATGAGAAACAATCGGTAGAGTTGTTCTGCACTGTCCCACTAACTCTAGTGAGAAGAATATTCTGCCTTCGAATCATCTCGATTTTTTAATACAAAAGCGACAGTTTATATAAGATGAATGGCAGCCATAACCAAATTCTGACTCGCGCACTTGTTAGTTCATCTGTCATTCCCAGCCAGCTATTCTTAGTAGTTAGTCTGAGAACAAGCCCAGTTGGTTTATTCACTTAAGATCACAGGTGGTATTTGATAAGTCCTTCGGCTCGCTTCGTTCGCTCCAATCCTGTCTTTGATTCAAGAAAGGCGAAGACGTGCTGGTTGTTCGCCAAATCATCATGCTGTGTACTAAACGAACCAGGCCGTCTGTTGACAATGTGCCAGCGTATTCCCTCACACGAACCAGTAGCAGCGAGATGTATTTTGCCCTTTTGCAATATTTTTATCAACTAATCAAACAAAGTTGATTCTGATGACTATGCCACGTGTAAGACAAAGGTGGAAAAGCATCCACCGCGAGGCATTTTGTCCACACTTCCTGTTCAGGAATGAAAAATATCACATGGATGTCAAACGATAACATGGCGGTGAAACAAACAATGTGCGAACTGGTCGGAGAAGATTATTATTGTATCTTGTTTACACGGCCCGCAGTTCTCAGCATTGGTTGATTAGATCAAAATTCATAAGAATAAAGCTTCTGTTGTATTGTTTTTGTTGTCGTTATCGTCCTGTATTTTCCCCAAAAGTGAGCAAGTTAGCTTTTAGAGAGGCATCTCACTATGTTTTGCCCTACAAACACGGCTACGGAGGTTTTGATTGTCATGAATGTAAATCAACAAAGAGCCTATTTTATGGATTTTACTTGAGATCGGCTTTTTATGTTTGCTTTTTTATCCACAGGTTTTCATAAACATTCTTCTGGGCAGTATTTTTCTGGGCAATGCCCTTCCATCAATGCAATATTTCTTGAGTGCCAAAACAGCTGCGCAAAACATTTACGGAACGATTGAACGAGTGAGTCTGTTGTTTCAGATATAAGGGATAAATATCTTATAATGACGATGCTAAAAGCAACTCAGCATTCTACTTTTCTCTTTACCTATTTGTTTTCTCATTCTTGATGGCTTGACCAACTTTACAAAACATTATTGGTCTACGTGGACATGGCCGTTAACGACTTGCCTCTTATAAGTACTTGTCTGTCACTAGATTTGAAAATTATCCTTTGACTCCGACGACAGAATTTTTCTCATTAGAGGCCCAAGTTTGCGGTTATGAATATCATTCAGTATTGAATTTCTCGGAGATTAGAAATGCTTGGCAGTACAGTCTGAATAGTCCGTCATAGCGCTTGGTGGTGACATGCGTCACGCTTTTGGAAGCAAACCCTGGTAGCATTCAAACGAATGGGATTCGGACCGCGGTTGGGACAACATGTATTGAAAGTGCCGACATTCTCTACATGCCAGATAGATTGATTGTAATGCATTCTTGATAGAGTGTTGATGATACATTCTTCCGCATTTTTCAGTACTCAAAAGAAACCACGCAGTTCATAATATTTGTCCACAGTTTAGGAGTTTTGTGCTGCAATTGAAGATTCATGTTTTCACTTAAGCACCCATAACTTCCCATGTTAATTTGACACCCACGTATCAACCGAATACGTTAAGCGTCACAGCCCAGTGATCATATCCTGATGCAAAATCTGTTGAGCGTCTTGTCGCTTGTCACTTCCGCCTATCTGGTGACCATACACCGGCACAGTGGTCTCAATTACTTTTGCTTGTCTGTGTGCCGGATTTTCTCTTATGCTTTTCTTTTTAGCTTCAGATGATCCTAGATAGCTCATCTTCACGTGAGAATAGTGTTATCAAAATCTTGCCGGATGGTCAAGCGGTTATCCTCGTGGGTTTTGGACAATAACGACTCGGGTTCGATTCCTGTCACCGCCGGTCACTTTCCCATTTGGCAGCCTTCCATTGGCCGCGCCCCCCCTTCCTGAATCGTTGTACAATGTTGTATCGTAAATAAAAAAGAAAGTGAAAAAAGTACTTATCTATTTATCTAAATATCAGATATCAGGTGCAACGCAGTGTTTTAGAGTGAAGAAACAGATAATTTTCAAGGTTTTCGGAACAGCATAAATGAAATGTGGAATGCGTTTTTCACGTCCAAAGTGTAAATCCCCGCTACGGAATGCGTTAATTTGACTCGAAAAGCTAAATTATTGGGAGACGAATGCGGATATTTACCAAGAGAACAGCTACTAGTGAAGCACCACTGCTCACACAGCAGCCACGTTTAGGTTTTTTAAGTCTCAGTCATCTTGCACCTCTCTGGGTAGAGTGTAAATTGCAGAAGTTAAGTTAGTTACTAACGGCTTGGAAATTTGTCAGTCGACGACTGGAGATACTCTGTAACAGAAAATTGGTGAATCCAAAGCACTGCTCAAACGCTGCCGGAACCTCATATACAATGGAAACGTTAGGTCTATCGCAAACCGATTAAGCCGCTAGCATTAAACACTGATGCACACTTAGGATGATGGTTAGAAGATGCGTTGTATCTCCTCCTGAGAAGGCCTCTTTACAGTATTATATTTACTGAAGTGCTTATTGGAGAATAGTCATTTACTGACGTGAACAAAGGGTGTGCAAACTCCCACTAGTGGATTTTGTCACGTAGGCTGTGCTACACTTCCCGAACCTGTAAGCCGCAGTTCTTAATGGTTGGAGATGCTAGTTAATGTAATAGTACCTCGCGATTAATGGCATTTTTGTGGTCACGCTACATCCATTTCTCTGTACCTTTATGATTCATCCCGTGCTGTTGCTATGCTTTTCGTGTTTTTTTCGACTTTGCCGACTTAAGTGCATGGCTAATTGTTTTTCAATCTAAATCGAATTTTTGCTTAAGAAAAATTGTCAGTTTTCATACAACTGTTCTGTTATACAGCGTTTTACGCACCATATTTTGACAAGATATATCAAATAGTAGACCTAATTTTCCGTTTATTCCAATTTAAATGACCATATAGACATCCAACCAAACATTTAAATCTGTGGTTAGGAGGAAAACCGATTTCTGCTGCTTCAGATGGGAATATTATTCAGCGTTAAAATGATATATTACACATTGAGAGTGGAACGAGGCTATTATATTTGGCATGCATTTTTCGTGAAAGACGTATACCTGATGACTAATTTTCAGGTGCCCCCGATCGACAAAGATGGCGAAGGAGTCATTCTGAATAACTTTCATGGCAACATTCAATTCCAAAATGTATCATTTGTTTATCCCACTCGTCCGGAAGTGAAGGTGAGGTTCCCCATTAGCTGGTGCTCATAAATTGGGTATATACAGCCATGTTTTCCATGCTCCAATACTCTACTTTTTGCCAGACAGGTCCACAGAGTATAGTCATATTATTCCAATGAACTAATAGACCACTGCCTAAACTTTGGCCTATATTCTTCGTAGGATTTAAATAATCTTGGTTCTATAGCAAAACTTTATCGACTTCATTTTTCGTGTTTTCGGAACTCACCCAATGAAAGAAGTATCAAATACGTGCCGAACACCTGTGCGTAGGATATCAGAAAGGCATTTGTTCACTGCTGTCCTTAAAATTTAAATTATACACCAGTGAATCACTTAAATATCGCTCAAAAACACTCTTTACCCCAATATTCCCAACCACTTACGCACCGATTTCCTCCTAACTATTGCACATACAGAACAACAAGACCAATTTTTATTCACCTTCGATTCTTTGTTATCCTCCTTTGTATTCGCGGTGTTGACACTGTGCCTGAGTCCATACTCTGTGTATTTATTATATTTACAATAATATGATACTGAATTGTTACCTGTGTACAATAAGGAGAAAATTAGATTGGACCTGTAACGTTTTGGTGAATAAACTGCCACTACCTGTAGCACCCTAGGCACACTCAGTCCTTGTAGTTTTTACTATTCCGTGAACGTTTGCTTACATTTCCTCAACTACTGGGTAATTTAGGACAATTCCGGTAACTATCTAGTATTAATTGCAGTATATTTAACCGACGATGATGAACATCCTTATGTCTGAATTCAGATTTTAGAGAACTTCAATTTGACATTAAAAAGTGGACAAACAGTCGCATTGGTCGGACCAAGTGGTTCCGGAAAAAGCACCATTGTGCACATGCTCCAGCGTTATTACGACGCAGCTGCGGGAAATGTACGTTTACCTTGAATTCAATAATATGCTCGCGTCACATTGACCTAGGTCAGGACCAAACAGCAATTCACGTTCATTCTGTTTTTATCTTTTTTTACTCAAGGCACCTAGGTCTGATCTCGCGAAGTAGACTCCGAAGTCCTGTGGTTCTTTACAGAGCATGAAGCGAAGGCAGATCAGGGAATGCGCTTACTCAGCGTCGAATGTGTGCGATGTCTGGTTTCATTTTCGCTTGGTGAATGTGTGAGAGAAATGCAAGCAATAAGACATCGGTATCATTTTTTATGGATATTCAGATAAAACTGGGCTTCACCCTTTGGACACGACACAGGTGTGTATTATCAGGTGATAGGGATACTTGCTGTTTGATCTGATTATTTTCATTGAAATTATCCTATTTTGTTGGTAATTATTTGGACTTTGTTGTTAAATATGCTTCGAATTCACACATGTGCGTTTTCTGAAGTCTCTTTGAGATTGTGCGCGAAAACTCCTCAAAATCAGTAACACTTTCTGACTTGATACTATGCCGTACTACGGTTAAGAAGTGAGAGTTCATTCCCGGTTCTTTAAACTCATTTTTAGATCTTGATTGAGGGCACAGACATTTGTGAACTGGATCTGAAAGCCTATCGAGCACAGATTGGCTGTGTGCAACAGGAACCAATACTTTTCGAGGGAACCATTGCTGATAACATTCGAATGGGCAAACTGGATGCAACTGAGGAAGAAATAGAAGAAGCGGCAAAAAAAGCGAATGCACACGAATTCATTTCAAACTTGCCGGAGGTAGTCCTTGTTATTGCTTGATAATTGTACGCTATTATCACAGTGCATCATAAGCAAAACGACGCTGAATGCACCTCCTACTAACAACATTATCGTCGTCAGTGTACTAGACTGTGGTTCAGTGGTTGAGCGATTCGTCAAAGACGGACTCCGAATCCTTAGCTAGAGAGTGCAAAGTCTGCAGTCTACGTGTACTATAAAAGAATTACGATTAAGCATCAACGAGTGCGTACCTCGGTTTGTTGACAACCCGGCCGAACTGTACAGACCAATCAACAAAGATTAAATCACCCATCAAATGAGATAATAAACGCACGCACGCAAAGTCAAGGGCGAAGTCATGCAATACACGAAAGTTCGGCAGTTTTACGCGAAAGGTGGAGTAGGACGCCCAACCGTGATCAGTGGGCAGCGACAATGAGAATTGGGGGCTCTAGCCACGGAAAGAATAGGGATAGTAGAGAAGGAGAGCTAGGATCCTTCAGCCAAGCGAACAACACAAAGGGTCATCGGCGGGGTTGAAGCATGATAGTGGGTACGCAAATAATGATACCAATGGAGTTAGTGTGAAAACCGGTGGAATAATGAACTGGGGAATACCGCGGGACGAAGGGTTGTTTGAGAAACGACAAGTTGGAGACCCAGGTTCTTTGAAAGGCAACACGGTCCAATAAGGCCGATAGATGGACCGAGCATAAACATGGGTTATGGACATATATATATATATATATATATATATATCATTGGTTAACACTGTCATAGAAAAAAAGCTGGACGGTGCATGATACAGAGTCGTTGAGTATAATAGAGCAAAAGCGTCAGTTCTCGAACAATAAGGAGATCAATAAGATACGATGGCATCTACAAAAGCAAGTTACGAAAAGCCTTAGTAAGGGTCGTGAAAATTGATGGGTCAAGGTAGCTGAAGAAGTAAAAATAGCAGCTGCTTCAGCTAACAGTCAAAGACTGTTGCAACCTATTCGTGACACCGGTGAACGGTGAATCCCTGTCAGCGAAAGGATTTGCGATAGGAATAGAGAACCCATCCATGGAAAAGAGCAAAGGCTCGACCATTGGACCGAATACTTCAAGGAGCAGTTTAGCTGGCCGCACGCTAGTGTAGTTACTCCCGTGTTACCAACTGCGATTCCTTGGGGAGTGTCACTTGAACCCCCATCGGAAGTGGAAGTGGATTCATGTATTCGATTAATAAAGCAAGGGAAAGTGGCCGGTCCCGACGAACCTCCTCCGGTTCTTTTCGAAGTGGGTGGAAATGGTTTGATAAAATCACTGACGACCTTGCTGCGTGACATTTGGAACGAGAAGCGTATTTCATTATTGTAAAGCGAGTCATTGATCGTACCCATCTTCAAGAAGGGAATACGAAATAATTGTAGTAACCTTCGTGGGATTAGCTTCCTTCCGATAGTCACCAAAATATTAGCCTGGATCTTGCTGTCCTGCATTACACACGCTTGCGAGAGGAATACCCGTGAATAGCCAGCTGGATTCCGTCCAGTTCGAGGATGCATCGACCAGATTTTTATTCATCGGCAACTTCTTCAAACGCGTCACCCCCTCGTCGACCGACAGTAAGAGTTCTGTTGAACTTCAAAGGAGCCTTCGATTCAGTTGATCGCACAGCGCTTTTCAGTGCTCGTCATCGAAAAGGTATGCTCCAGAAGTTTGTGAACTTACTAAGACCACTGTATTCTCATACTTTTGGCCTCATAAGGGTTTGCAGTGAACTATACGGTCATTTCGAAACGACGAGTGGTGTTCGACAAGGATGTCCCATGTTTCCATTCCTTTTCAACTTCGTCATGGACGAAAACATGGAGGGTACGTTGCAAAGTCTTCAGGATATGGGCTTTGAACTAGGAAATCGTGAAAAGCTGTGCGACTTAAATTACACGAACGCCGTCGTGTGCTTGTTCGAATACACAGAACATGTTCAACGTGCCCTAGACAGACTCACAAGAGCTGTAGCTCCATTCGGCATACGATTTGCACCTTCAAAGTGTAAAGTGATGTTGCAAGACTGGATATCAACGATTCCGAGCTTGATGCTCGATGGAGAGGTGCTGACAATTGTTGATCGCTTCAGTTACTTCGGCAGCAGCGTGATGACGGATAGGAGCACAGTAGTAGAGGTGAGCATGCACATATCCGAGGCTCGATCGGCGTGCGCCGGACTGAAGCACTTGTGGCGGCGACCTGAGATTTTATTGAAGTTGAAAGGTCTTGTGTATTGTGCCGCGGTGCGTTCAGTTTTGTTGTATGGTTGCGAGACTTGAGGTCTGGATGGAATAGCCAAAAGAGCAATGCTGAGGCGAGAAAGCGAGTATTGGGTATTAATTCAGAGAACATTCTGTCACAGCGTATCCAGATTAGTAGACTTCGTTGGTTGGGACACGTGTTACGTATGACAAACACACGTCTACCATACCGTGTCCTATTCTCCGTTCCTCCTAGGGATTGGAAAAACCATGTGGAGGTCAACAGATAACTTGACAACGAGGAATGAGGAAGTGTAAAGCGAACTTAGGAAACGTAGGTGCCTCACGCCTTTGAGGTTGGGGTCCAAAAGATCTGTCAATCAGTTAGCTGGAGACACTGAAGGATGTGGGAGCGAACCGTGAACAGTGGCGATAGTGTTGTCACTTTTTGGTTAATCCGAATGCTTGGTGAATGTGCGTTTGTACAGTTAGACTGTGTATTCCGTGTGTTGGCCACTAGGGTGTTGTTTCCTTTTCCCACTGTGTAGGTCTACTCCCTGTCCATCTTGTATGTTCATGCTTTCTAATTTGACGTGCAACATGGTGAGAAAGGCAGTGGTCGGTTGGGCTTGCCCTACTGCTTTAGCTGTACGACGATGGTGATGATAACGAGGAGGAGACAAACAAGTTAGCGTACGTTAGTGAAGGCGAGTCAGATACAAGTGCAGCCCATTTGGTCAAGACAACTGGGTTGAAAGCGAAGATTAGACGGATGTTGGTATCATTGAAAATGGCTTCTAGGTGTGGGTAGATAGCACATGTGGGAGCACAAGTACTTGGATCGGATTTTGATTCAGCGTGGGAATATCGATATGTTAATTGGAATCGAATACACCGGCCGCCAGATTTCCACCCAGGACCGTCACGTCACACTGTTTGACCCTGGTTTCTCCAATTACTCGCTCACTCCTGGGCCATTGTTTTGAGCATTGCGGAGTCACGTAATGTGAAATCACGTGAAACACGGTCCATTCTCAGCGGCTTAACTTCTGTGTTTTCCACTTCTTTCCCCTCTTTCAATACCACGGGTTCACAAGCAACTTCATACCTGCTGTTATCTAGTCACTTGAAAAACTATTTTCTTTATAAATTGAACAAATGACATTTCATTGACGTTTCTGTGCGTAGCAAATTATTCCGCCTTTGTCGGCGATCTGGCATCAAATGGAGGCTTGCAATTTTTCTCCGGGATGCGATAGGCTCACACAAATCACGAGTCCTTTATACCTCGTCGAAAGTGGTAACTTTGGCCTAGTCGGCGCATGTATGTTGTGGCGATTTTGATAAGAAGTACCCCATTCTGTCGATATTTTGTCAAAGGATTATCTACAAATTTGTGTTTTATCAAGGATAGTGATATAGATCGGGTTTCTTTTAGTATAGACACATCAGGAAATGCCACTAATTGATTGACAGATTTAAGGCTAACTAGCAGTCTATTGGCTACGCTGTGTGAACGAACGAGCAAGTCGCACAGGATCCCTTTGACCCAGACGTATCCCTCCTCCGGACACACCATTATGCCCTCTCGTAAAGATTGCTTGGCCGGCATCAACAATATTGTACTACATACAAAAGCCATTTTTCTTTTTTCCTGCCTTAGTTCTGTATGCTTCTATGGTTTATTGGGATTCTTGTCATCCCTGATCGATTCGACTGCTGGAAAGTTGTGACCGTCGGTCACAGGTCGGTCTTGTAATGCTGTCACTCATCAGCCCCGGAGATGTGAAAAAAGGTTCCGTGGATGAACGTGTGGAAGTGGCATGGCTTTGCGCCTTTTATCTGGAAGAACTTTTCTGTCAGCTCCCTTTTCTTTTTCTGCCTTACGAACAACGGCAGTTCTGTCAATTTACTTTCGTGACGAGTCTTTAGTAACCTCTGTTCTCTACGGATTTTCAAATTCTCCTGCCTGTACTTGTAGCTCCTCCCACAACTGCATTTCTTTGACCTGTGACCTTACCAACAGTCAGCAAGCATTACTCACATTGGACCTGGCGCTATACTGACAACGACATCACCCCTAAAATCGCTTTATTCATGCATTCCCCGACAAGCAGGTATCTGCAGTGAACTGATCAATATGAATGTTTTTGGAAAATATCCTGTATAGCCGTTCTTCTTCAACTTCGTGATCGGCGATGATACTCTCCAGAATCTCCAAGATTTCAATGTAGAGTGAGCAACTGTTGAGGATTTAAGACCTAACGGACGTTAACCTTATCACACACATTTCTGTGTCTGAACTTACGAAGGATGCACTGTGCGCATTCGGCAGCTTCACTATTACTATGACTCCCTTTGACGTGCTCTGTTTAACTTCAAACTGAAAACAATAACGTTCTCACTAAGCCTAGTCTGTTACCAAATTATTGATGCACATAAAGGGTGCAATCGCAGTCGTTGGCTTTACGGAGCTAGGCAGATGACTAGAATGACAATGGTATTTGTAAAGAGACGAATATGCGAATATTCAGTGTTTGAT